ATAGAATGTCCAGAGCTACATAATTACATATGTTAATATGAAAGTAATCCAGGGGAGGAAGTCATAGAAAAAGGCTAAAAACCATTATTTAAGATTTGTGCAAAAAAGTACCCAAATGGCCATAAAATTATCAACCGACGATCAGCAGATGCATACCCACACCAAATCTCAAGTCAATTGAATAAAATATTTTGAAAAAATATATATATTTCAAATGATGAAGGTATAGTCAACAATCATTTGTAAAACATCACTTCAATTTTCCCCTGTACCTCACTAATGCTGTTAGGAAGAGAGTTGGGAAAGCTCTACACAGAGCCTCTCCCCACCATATAAACCATAACCCGTTTGGTTTCATCCCTAGGCCACAGTATAGGGAGACAACCAGTAGGGCCACTTAGGGGAGAGAAAAGTGGCAATTATTTAAGCTATGTTCCAGGTGTCTTACGCGGCCAAAATCATTATTCTGTAGTACAATTTTATAGTGGACTGCTGCCGTTTACTGTCTGCCAATATGTAAATTAGGTTGGCAGCCAGGAAACAATGTAGACACTTTTTTATGCTGAGTGGCCCTACTGTACTTTTCCTATACTGTGCCTAGGCGATTTAACAGGATGAAGTTACAGACATTGGCCTTTTGAGAATTTTGTTTATTCAGCAGTTAAGGCTACCCTAGACATGGATGTATGATGGCCTTGTTCATACCCCCACCGAGTTTGGTGGCAATTGGATAAAACCCCACCACGGGGCTTGAGATAATGTAAAGTTGTCAAAAGGCCAAGGATCCTAATTTCTACTAGCATCCTGTTGGGATATACAGCTATTTCAATTCAGGTTGTCCCCAAGCAACGCGGAAAAGTTGAATACGAGCTCGAAAGGGCTGCTGGGAATTGCTATGAAAATTCATTAATTTTTTAGTGATTCCCATCAACCTTTCGCGCTCGTATTTGACTTTTCCACTTTTCTCGTTGACAACCTTAATTTTAAATAGCTGTATACTAAGCCAATGAAAATGTATTAAATACCAGATATTACAATTATCACTAAGACACAATTAGATTATTTGAAGGTACAAGCTAACTGAAATAACCATTATATGGGCTAAACTAGTCAGCTGTACAATATAATTTGCATAAATAGGTCTACTGAAATATTTTAATTAGCAGAAGAAAATGGTGGTAGTAATACAGAAGTAATAATAAATATAGTAAAATTAGTAAAGTTAGAAAATGTAAGAATTAGTGTAAAATATCATGAAAGATAAATTATTATAACATTAGCAAAACAATTGCATTCAATTAATTGTTGCTTATTCTACTAAAGGACATATATTCAAAGGTAGCAACAAAATTCCGGGGAGTAGAATCATTCATTTCGATATGATAAAAGAATTGAATTTTTCAAGTTTCTTAAACTTTGAAAAACTAAAATTTTTAGCGTCTTCATCAATCGAATTCCATACCTTTGCACCAACAAATCTAACATTGAACTTTCCATAATTCATCATAATGATGACTTTGAAGCATGTCTGGTATTATAATTATATTGTTGATTTGCTGAGATAAAATATTTATCAAATGCCTGGGGCAATTTGCTTGAATAAAAATTATAGACAAATGTAGCATTCTGCAGATAAACGAGGTCATTGAGTTTGGTGAGCTTTAATTGTATAAAGAAGGGGTTAGTATGGTCACAGAGAAGAGATATACAGACACCTCGATAACCTGAATTTTTGTGTCACGCCATTTCGCCTTGCTCTTGTGTCATTTCAGATGCCCCACACAAAATCTCCCAGCCAGTGCCGCCACTGAAATTTCATAGCAAAAGCATAGGGAAAACCCAATTTGAAAGGATAAAAATGAATTATTTAAAGAAATGGGGCTTCTGATCTTCATTTTGTGACTTAAATGTTCAAGAATAATGGTAAGTGATTTCTTCTGTTTATCTAAGAAGTACATTTGAGCTTTTTAACAACTTATATATATTGCTGAAAATATGAGGAGTGTGTTCAAACTCTTGATAATCGAACAACCATGCATTCAATTGATTTGCGTTTATAATGTTTATTAATTTTTATTATAGTTTAATACACAGGAAAAAACATGAACGACGAGGATAAAAACTTCCTCAGATACAAGAATGGTCAACACAATGATTGAAGCTAATTCATTGAATGAAAATAAGTACATAATATTTAATAGAATTAGCCTTTCTCAATCTCACACCACCATTTTTGGCTGGCAATCTTTTTAGAAGGGGATAGTAAGCAGCGAAAATGAAACATTCTATAACTAAAGTTGTAAGGTATAATCATTATGAATCGATTGACAGTTGAATATCAACCCTTGAAATTCCACTATTTTTGCCTCGGCAAATAATTGCCGAAATCTTTCAATAATTTTCGAGTTTGCCTCTCCATTTTTTTTTTGCCGAGCCACGCAATGAAATCACCTCAAATTCCTTCGGCAATTACTTTGGCATTCACATCCGCAGTTGTAATTAAAGTAAAGTACATAGGGAAATTATCATAAACAAATATTATAACGAGCGTAGATTCTGACATTTGACAATTTGTTGTTATTTTACAAATTCCTGATTCAAAATGTTTTTAAAAAGTTAGTGGTAATAAACAACAAATAGTATGAAAGAATAAACTCGATGGTAATCACAGGACAGTCTAAAAGATAAAACAAAGTTTGTTGACAATGCCATCTTTAAACCATCAAGATTGTTCTTTATTTCAGCCGAAGCCGACGCTGGAAAGCTCAAATATATTTTGTAAAGTAGCTATGAATGAACTCTTCTGTTGTTCACCCAACGTCGACGACAACAATTTGAACAAAGAAGTGATCCAAAAAAACCGAACACTGTACTGTAGTTTGTAAATTTAAACAAAAAACTAACAGTTGTCGTAGTTTGTAATTTATACAAGGTACACAGGTAGAATTGCCTCGGCATTCTTTTGCCGAGGCAAAGTATGAAAAATCATAACTTGCCTTGGCATTTGCATCGGCAATTGCCGAGTGCCGAGGCGAATTTTGAGGGTTGAATATTTAAAAAATTATTTTCACATTGCTTATATTTTTTACATTGTTTATTAAATAGTACCCAAAAATAGTGGATTTAGACCTTCGTGAGAAAGGCTACATATATATTACTGTACACAAAGTGAACACATTGAAAATATTAGGCCATTCCATTCAATATAGGCATCTCCCCCCCCTATGGAGGGGTCCTATCATGATCCCCTTAGGATATAAAAATCTTGGAACCCCTTTGGATGCAATTTGTGGAAGTTACCCCATAGGATATCTCACTAACAGCTTTACAATATCTTACTAACCACTTTACGATATTGTCTTTTTTTATTTTAATTCTCTACCCCTGAGGAAAATTTAAGATGAAGACCAGTGGGGAGACTCTTAATATGTACACTCTCCCCTCAATAGGGAGAGTGTACATATTAAATGGAATGACCCATTGCAGTCATGACAACAAAATTTATTTACAAGTGGGTGACTTTTAAGGTATTTCCTGTTCTTTTTCTTTGCAGATCGCAGTTCCCTGTTTCCAAACTCCAAGGCATGGTGTCTATGCATCCTGACGAAAAGTCTTAACAAATATGCACTAGGAAAATGTGCACACTCTAACAAAGAATACTCGGAAAGTTTTGACAACAAGTACTTTCCTATTTGTAACCTACCAACATTCTCAAATTCCACTACAAATGTGCATGGCGTCTAAGTCTGTAATGTAACTGACAAATTTGTCTGAGGGCGCAATAAGACTGCCAAAAGGTTTTTCTTCGGATTCCTTGTATCCTTTGAACAGGCAAAGTAATTGTGCACTGTTCGTTAACTGTTTGTTGACAAACTCCTGAGTGCAATTATCACAACAGTGTTTTGTAAAGCATTTCTTTAGTAAGTATCCAGATACATATGATAGCATTTAGCCCAATAAGGTTGCTTTCTAAACATGTTTTATAATTTGTAACATCAACTTCAAAATTTGGGGACTCTGGTTGACTAATTTGTTGGACATTTTGGACTTCCGGGTTGATTCATTCCCGCAAGCATGGAGTCAAGATCTTCATTGCAATTTCCTCTTGGGAGAATTTGATAATGGTCGGAACAAAAGCTTTTTGAATGCTCGAGTAAATTGTAGTGTTGTTGCATTATCAGAATTTCAACCCCTTTTGTCTGATTGTTCCAAAAAAATTCTCTAGCAGGTCTTGGTTTAAACGTCTGGTAAATAAACAGTCAAGAGACTCTTCTTCCTTTAGTACGGACCACAGAGATAGAACACTGTTAATTGTCAAGCATAAGCATTTCGAGCACTTCAGTTTATTGGTGACATCTTCCTGAGTGGTGCGTTTAACAACTTTGATAGACTGGATCAATTTTAGCATGTCAATGAGGAATTCATGGTGAATCGAGTTTTCAGAAATTGCTCATCAGTGACACTTAGGACTATTTAACAAAGAACTGTTTAGGCAATCAAAAATCTTGTCAAAGTTGGAAATTAGTCCAGCAGCATTTGCAGGTAAGGCATTAAGACTAACATACATTAAAATTGTGGCCGACACAGTATGGCTCAGTATCTGGGTGGCATATTTTACTTTCATTTTTGTAAATCCAGTTAAGTTTATGTGGCTGTCACTCAGCCTTGGGCAGCATCTGATTGGTAAAGATTTGTCTCTTTCGCACATAGATGTAATATGGTCCCAGCACTCAACTTTGTTCCCAAAGTGAAAGTCATAATTCAAAAGGTTATTTCGCACAGCCTTAATCAAGTGTGGTTGATCGAAAACATAAAATATCTTCCTGCCATTGCGCATGAACCACGGTTTTGTTGGTGACATTTCCAAATCTTTAGCAACTTTTTGAAATTTGATCCAAGGTCAGTTATCACAGCATGCATCTTCAGACCAATTGATGTGACTTGATCAATAATTTGTGTTAATTTTTCCTTCAGAACATTACTTGGACATGCCTCATGAACTAAATAGTAACCAAGGGCTGTTTCCAATTTCCAGTGATTCCCCGAGCCATGAACATGACAGCTGATGTAGCCAGACGTTCACTGTGCTTTCCATCTCCAAAATCGTCCACACCAACCACCTCATCTTTAGCTGAATCAAACAACAAGCATGTTTTTAAATAAATCTCATCCATACAAATGCTACATAGTTTGCTGGCTTCATTCATGCATTTGACCTTGGCTCCAACCTGTATGCCTTGCCACTTACATGGTACAGTGATAGAGCAAATGACTTCATTTCTGGCATGTATCTTTTCCCTTTGTTTTTTTTTAATGTAGGTCGATTTGAAGATCAATGAATTTGACCATTCTTTCTGGTAACATTGTCCTTAGTGCATCTTAAAAGTTGTTGTTTTTGTTTTTTCTTCATATTTAGGGCCTGTCTTAGACGTTGCACTCTTTTACGTTGTTTTGCCATTTGCTTCATAGTGCTTCTTGGTGAATGATGTTGATTTTTTCTGTTCGGTTTGGGAGACAGGAGACATTGTGATATCTAGCACAAGACATAATTTGTGCATAGGTTAATGATGAACTATTAATGGTTTGTCTTCTAAATCAATTTTATTTATCATTAACCCATTAGGCCACAAATTTTATTTTATTCTTTTACTCTGTATAATGCCAGACAATTTTACTTATCAAGGGGAGAGTCTTATGCTGTAATGGGTTGAGTGCAAGAAACATTGTCCTGATCTGATAGGATGTTGTATACCTTTGTCAATACAAGATATATCTGCTGATGTATTCACATTGCTGTCTATGTCGTTGAAGTGATGATGATCAAACGGACAGGGAGGACCTGGAACAAAGTGTTTATGCATTTATTAACATTTAATGTATTGCACGGGTGAGTTTTAATTCTATACCAATTATTAAGTTGTATACTGTATTACGGTCAATTGATTTTAAAGGCCCCATCATGTTATTGCATATGAGAGAAATATATGAAAATTAATGATGAAATAATTTTCATATGTACAAAATTACAAAAATCCCTTGAAATGCCAGTGTATGAGTTCAGTACATCTGGGGTACCTCTAATGTATTTGGCATGTGCCTAAAGTATGCTTATCCTAGTATAAACCATAGGTCCGAATACACAAAATATTTAAGCATGCTAAAAATATTTCTGTATCGCCGGGGCTCTCACCTTTGCCTAATGTATATTTTTCATATGCTGGCATATGCTAGTATGATATATGCAACAGTGTGACAGGGCCTATTTTACACACATTACTACACACTTTAGTGCTATCATTTGCAACATCATTCTCTTCACAGTTGTTGAGTTGCAATATTTTTAAATCTAGAGTCCCTCAAATTTTATGCAATTAGAGGGGCGATTGATCACCCTACATGTCTACGCCATTGCAAACAAAGGTTTATAGAGGCTGGCATAGCCAGGGTGTATGTTTCTGGCATATTCTTCATCTTCATATCCCTCCAAAATGTATGCCCAGATTTCAGGTTTTTATGAAGGCAGCCCTTCCAGCCATTATTCTAGCCATTATGCCGCTGAGACTTCGGAGATGCCACAATACATGACTGTCATTTATATTTATTTAATCTGTATTATATACAATAAAGACTAAAACCAGCTAAAACGTTCTACTAAAAAAAGTTTACCAGTACTCTCTGTCTCTGATGTCTGTGATAATGTACTTGAAGCTTCAACTGTATTAAATTTTCTCTTTTTGCCTAAATAAAAATGTTTTTGTGTATGAATTTACGGTACTTAAGAGTAAAGGTATAATTAATGGTTTAGTTTAGTTACAGTAAATCACTGTGATTAAATATATATTACTTGACCTCAGCGTGTTTGATGTGAGGCGGGAAATTTAAAGCCCAACAAACGGGCCGGTTATGTAAACAAAGGGTTTGTGTACATTTTAATTAACTTAACCGTCTTTTTACATTGTATTCTCTTTAAATTTCCCGCTTGATGTTCATGTCAATTCATGGTTTTTAAAATGGTTTTCAAGGTATAAAATACAGTACATAAATTACCATTTGTCGGGGTTTCTTGCCTAAATAACAGTCTTCGCTTTACGCCTATTCGGAGGTGGATTTGGCATGTCAAAAATGGTTGGAATTGTGTTGTCTTTCAACCTTTTCTTCAAAGCATTCGCAAACATTTCTTCTTCAAAATGTGCACTGCAAAGGCGGCTATTTTTATGAAGCTTTTCTGCGTCATACTTGACAAGGTCTTCTCATCGGCAATTGACAACTCATTTTTTAGACCTATAAACAAAATGTTGAAAACACATCGTTTGTCATCGATCGTCCAGCCATTTATAGACATTGTATTTAATTCTGTAGATGCTTTTACTATGTCTCAAAACTTTGGAAGGTTGGACATGACAATGTTCTGACTCTTTAAGCTCACCTGTTTACATCTTTTGGAAAGCGATAAAAGGAGAGTTCTTCATTATCCTTCTTGTTGTGATTGCAATTTAATGCCGAGCACCATGTTGTGCCGATTTTTTTCTTGCGTTTTTTGAGCAGGATTTGCTCCATTTTTAGATCTTGAAGTTCTCAAAATGTTCCGTTTGTAATAGTTCAAAATTCTAAACAAGGTTTATAAGGTGTTTTGTCTACCTCTTATGTGGTTGCCATGGAAACGTGTTTGTTGTGTTGTTATTTTGTTTTGTTGCCTTTTTCTCCCTGATAAATGCAAATTTATGCATGTCATCTACATTTCTGACTACATGAAGTTCTTCACAAGCCGTAGATGCCAACAATGCATCATGGACAGGCTTTTGCATTTTTGTGACTATCGTGTGAGCAATAGCCACTATGTCATCGCGTTGTTTGATTGCTTGCTTGCATGCTTGATTGTTTTGGACCTTACTACATCATACTCGGAAGCACGTCACAATTGGTAAACACTTCACATTTGGCAGTTGTCGTCATATATCCTGAATATTTTAATTTTTTAGCAGACTCTGTGTTGTCTGGTAATGTTTTCAAAACAGTTGAATATATTTGCAGAGTATTCTGTTTAGGGCAGTGAGGGCACTAGCCTGCGGGCAGCCCGTACCACGTAAACAAGGGAAGGGACTGCGAAAAAATGCCGAATAGCTTGCTACGCGAGAAAACGGAAGTAAAACAACTAAGATAATATATGCAATGATTTTATCATAATTATCTTCTCCCGTCATTTCTGGTTTGACACAGCCTTAACTTCACAACATGGCGGGTGCTATAGGGTGAATCCTTGAAACTTTGTAAAATACGAAAGGCATTTCAATGTCTGCAGATTCGTGTATTTTTTGTTTGGAATTGTTATTGAAGGCAACAGACCATAATCTTGTTGATGGCAAAGGTAAATGGGGTCTCAAATTGGTCGATTGTCCATTTGTTGTTCAGTCAGTATCGCCTTATATTTGTAAGCAATGTCTTACCCTTGTCAAGAAACGGAAAAGTTTAAACGAGAATCTTGGTAAATTGGACGAGCAACTTACAAGTCTATATCAGCAGAAATGTGCGCAGCGTGGAATAACATAACGTTCAAGAGAAAACATCCAAAGCGACTGACATTTTCCAGTTCGAGTGATAAAGATAATTATGAAATTATTAATGCCATTCCAGCGTTCCCTTTTCTCATTCACCCAGGAACTATAGTGATCGACAACGTGCAAGAAAATCCTGAAAAGCACCAGGTCAGCAAGTAAGTGGTAGTTTAATGCTATAAGAGAGTGAAATAAATAGTAAGTTCATTTATATTTGAACACAAAAAAATAATTTGTTATTTGTGAAACGTTTGCCCACTATAACAGCAGTAATTAATAGTCAGTCAAAAAAATACTAAGAAAAGAGGCTTGTATGCATTATGAAATGTCAATTGTAATATTGCAATCGGAGACCCCCTGCTCTCCCCCTCCCCCTGCTTCCTACGCCCCTGGTTGGATTGTAAATATTCATTGGGATATCATACAATTACTAGGGTATCAGAGTTCTGCAAATTTTGCAATTAACTATCAAAGTTTCTGAAATTTTCTGTGAAAAGTTAGACCCAAAACATTTTCTGGGAGCTACTGTAGGTCCCAGGATCCGATACATTTTCTACCTATCATTCCAATGATAATATGTCCTTTGATTTTAGTGAGGTTATCCTGTCAAATCAATTTGTCAAAACATCAACACCCAATGGCCAAGGTATACAAGAACCAGCCAACCAACTTGCTTCCCCAATTATTGATGAGCAAAGCAATGTGAGGGAGAAACAAAACCCCAGTGATTGCGATGTAGTGGTTACCATTGACTGGGAAGATCGGACAAAAAGAAAAGTGTTACCACCCAGAACTCAGTTCACTTGGAAAAATGCTGTGCATAGGTACAAAAAACAGATTGCTAGAGCTGCTTGCCAATGTAAAGCTATACGGTCAGATCTGTATGCAGAGATTGTGAAAGAGATTCACAAGGAAAGTGTTATGATGTGTGTAAAAGAAAACACGAAAGTAAAGAAAAGAAGAGATAACAGCTGTTTGCAAAAGATGGATAAAGAAAGCATGTCCAATTTTTCATTTGATGCATTGATAAAAGAATTGGAAGAACGTGCCCCATTTCTACTCTTGGTGCTAAAGACTGCAGCATTTAATGCTAGAGATGAAAATGAAAAATGGAAAGCAACCATTACTGTTGCTGCAGCTGTATGCCTACAAAATAGATGCCATAATATGATTGCATTTCAATTATTAATTGCTATTCTAAATCGCCATTCAGGATTCATGGTGAGTAAAATCTTAAAGACCATGGAAGTATTATTTCCTGATAATATCATTAATATGTATCAGCTCTCATACTGTAGCCTGCGGGCAGTGCAACTGTCTAAACTTACAACTTAAGTATTATAATTTATTGCTAAATTGCTATTTAAATATGCTGAAGATCTATTATTTTAAACTTTTTATGTTATAACTGCATAAAGAACAGCGAATGGCTCATTTTTGGCCAATGCGACTTAATGGGTTAACTCAGTAAGCAGCAATGCACCCTGCTTCATTCTTTTACTCTGTGTAATGCCAGGTTCTTTACTCTGTGTAATGCCAGGTTCTTTACTCTGTCTAATGCCAGACAATTTTACTTGTCAAGGGGAGAGTCTTTTGCTTTAATGGCTAACCAAACAATCTGCCCACATGTCTTATACTTACTTTATATCACTCAATCTAATGCCGGATGGTTTTACTCATCAAGGGGAAAGTCTTGCACTTTAATTGGTTAACCCATTAAGTGCCAGCACTATCCCCTTGACAAGTAAAATCATCTGGCATTAGACAGAATAAAATCATATGGCATTGGAAAGAGTGAAATAGTAAAGTAGGTGCATCAGGGCACAATATGACTCAATGGGTTAAGGTTGAATGAAGAATGGTATAACAGTTTGACATAGTTTGATAGTTAGATAATATGCTACCTGAATTCAATTTCAAATCTTGCAACAACTTTCTTAAAAATGTGTTCATCTTTAGGCAATGATGGGTCGCATGCAGTCTTTGAGGCTCATGCCATCACATACATACTTTTATAAGAAGTTGTCAGAGTATGGGAAAGATCATGATTTAGAAATCAAGACTAAAGTAGATATGGAAGGGAAGAGAAAAACAGCAGTAATAATATCTGACCAGCCAACAGTCCATAAAGATGATCACCAGGCCTGTGTAGCCACAGTAAAGGTAAAAACTTGCCACAACTTTCAATTATGGAAACTACAAGAAATAGGTTACATATTTTCAGCGATGGATTTACTGGGGGGGGGGGGGGGG